AAAGCCCTGATGTTGGAGACCGAAGAAGGAAACATTCTCCCCTGATGTTGGAGAATCAAGAAGGAAACATTCTCCAAGCCTTTATAGATCACTATAAAAGAGCCACTGGGAGCAAATTCCTCTTTTCTTTTGCTCAGTCCATTTGAGAAGAATAAAGCTCTTACCAGTGAAGCTGCAGCTGTGCTCACCCTCAGCTTAATCACTATACAAGGCTGAAGGTTAATTAGCTGCCATTCTTAGCTCTATTTGTTGTTCTAATACAGATCTGCACACACCTAAGACTGGAGTAACCGACACTTGATTTTTATTTGAAAGGTGATGCGGGGAGAGGGAGTGGCTCATCCATCCTGAGTGCTGATGTTTGTGGGTATGCGTAGAGCATTTTCATTTGACTGGACCTGTATAGTTCTGCCCATTTGAAGACAGACAGACAAAGACTTCATGGTTGCTTATGAATGCAAGCCCCTGCTGGTCCAGGCTGCACCGCAAGGCAGCTTATGGTCGGAAGGCAGATGACAGGGCAATGAAATACACAGGCAGGGTCAGAGCCCAGACGATTCCCTCCAAGAGCAAAAGAGAGCCAAATCACGCACCGTTTACAGATTACCTTAAGTCCTCACTTAAAGGTTCTTGGAAACTGCAACTTCAAGCAAAATGACGTACTGTATGCCGCAGGAACCTAACTCTTGTTTAGATCAATTAGCCTATGGTAAATTGGTTTCATTATACATTACATTATTTCACTTAAAGTTGCAGTTTCTAAAATCCTACTGATGACCTTAAACGAGGACTTACGTCACACTGTTAGTATGATTTTTAGCAACTAAAAAAATGTTATGAAGAATTTCAAACATATCCAAACACAGAATAGTATAATGAGCACCCATGTACTCATCACTCAAATTCAACAATTATAATGGTCAATCTCGGTATCTTCCATACTCCTCCCCACCTACAATCTTTCTGGATTATTTTGAACTAAATTCCATATATCAAAGAATTTTATTGGCAAATAGTCCAGTATAGATGTCTAAAAGGTAAGGACAGGTACAATTCCATTATCATGCTCAAAAATTTCTGGCAGTATTTTCTCAGTATCAAATGTTTCACTGTCAACTTTCTGACTGGCTGACAAGAGTCATACATATTTGGGGGAAATTTTTAAATGATACAATATCATAACTGAGTTTAGAACAAAACAAGCTCAAAAACACTTTAGAGAGTAATAGTAGTAGAGCAGACAAATAGAAATGGGATTAATACAATAATGCTAGATGATACACAGACTTACACACTTTTCAAGAAGGAAAAAAAGGTTAGAAATATTTCTAGCCATAACTCTGTAAATCAAGCATCAGGTAAAGGAAAACTGCTGATCTCCTAATTGTCAGGGTTCTCAGAATGATCAATTTTGTATGAGGTAAAATACCCATTTTTTAAATACGTCTGAAGACCATAATATAAGCACATTTTAAATAATTGTTAAAGAAACAGGTTTCATGTAAAGAATATTACCAAATATCTAAGGGTTTTTTTTAAAAAAGCCCACAAAATAGCAAAAACAAACTTCGAAAGATGAAATCAAACAGAACTTAAATTTTATGTGTTAAATAATGACTTGAGAAGAAAGTACTTATAAATAAGAAAGCACAGAAATTTGATTCCCCAATAGTATTCTCAACTTTGGCAATTCACAAATTAAATCATGTTTAGTGAGCAAGACTAAACTCAGAAAAAGCCAGGTAACGTCTTAACAAAGAAGAACGCTCGGTTGTGCGAGTGGCTCATGCCTGTAATCCCAGCACTTTGGGAGGTTGAGGTGGGCGGATCATGAGGTCAGGAGATCGAGACCATCTTGGCTAACATGGTGAAACCTCATCTCTACTAAAAATACAAAAAATTAGCCAGGCGTGGTGGTGGGGGCCTGCAGACCCAGCTACTCAGGAGGCTGAGGCAGAAGAATGGCGTGAACCCGGGAGGGGAGGTTGCAGTGAGCTGAGATCATGCCATTGCACTCGAGCCTGGGCGACAGAGCGAGACTCCATCAAAAAAAAAAAAAAAAAAAAAAAAAAAAAGAATGCTCTATCAGGCTCAGTAAACACCATCATGAAGTGGTGGCCTAATAACACCAGCAGTTAGATCTACCTAGACAACTGCATTGAAAACAGAATGATTATTGCTGGTGCACCCATCAACTGGTTGATAACGTTTGGACATTTGCCACCTGAGCGATAATCCTACTAAGTCAAGGTTCGGCTTTTTTCAGATTGCAAAATCCAACTGTCAATGTTGAGGTGACGGTGTTAGATACTATTCAATACTACCTTCCCAATTAAATTCAACTGAGTAGGTATTTATCAGTCATCTACTGTGGGCCCATTTGGTGTCCTAAATACTCTGGGAAATAATATCAACAACACATTACCATTTACAAATGGCTTTCATATATGCCATCTCATTTTAACCTCAGAGGAATCCAGTGATTTAGGTAGGGCTGGTACTAATCCCAATTTTATATCAAAAACTAAGCCTGTGGAAAGTTAAGTGACCATCCAACGTGATATGACTAATAAACAACGAAGCTGGTTTTCAAATCTACATCTGCTGTCTACAAATATCACGCTGATAAAGACGGGTAGTCATACCCTAAAGAATATCTGTGTCGGAATGGACCAAAAATTTTTTAAAGAGACAAGTGCAGATTACAAAAAGAGTAAGAAAAAGATTTAAAAAATAAGTTTATGTACGGATAAGAGTGAGAAAGTATTTTTTAAGTTGGTTAAATTTATATCATTATACAAGGCCAACTTTTGAGCGGACAGCATTTCTGGGTTAAAATAGCTCTACAAATTCAGTGTAGGAAAATCTTATTTATTCATATTCTATCGAACTTTTTTTGTGATAATTTGAAGACAGATTTAAGATAAACTTTAATCTAACCTAATCTTACCTACCTCTGTAGGTAAAAAACCTACAGAGATTGAAAGTGTACCAGGTAACAGTGTGAAATAAGTCCATTAAACAAAAGAATGGACATTTGACTACTTTAAAATAAACAACTCTATTTAAGATTCTAGAAGTGTCAACATTGATAAAAACAAGGTACCAATTAGGAAACTTTATTTTATGTGTTAAAGTGTGACAAACTAAATGTTAGCATGTATTTTACAAGTTCCTTTCTAGTCTCATGTCAGGCAGGCTGTCTCTGGTTTTATGGAACATTATTTTTAGGCTTGTTCTTACTATCAATAGCATTATTTTCAAAATTTCTTTCTTTTACTTATGTGATTCTGCTTTAGTTAGGAGAGATTTTTAAGTTTTTGCAGAATGCATTTGTAGTTTTCTGAAACACAGCAAGAAAAAAAAGAAAAACTAGTTCACTGAACAGAAGTCTGTCTGATTGCTGAGACAAGGCTCTGGTGGAATGAATCTATTCCTTTAAGCAGGAGTATCGGTAGAGAGAACAGGCTGTCATATACAGGCTTATTCAGGGTAAAAGACTCTATTTCAGCTGACTCGGAGGCAAACCAGGCCAGGCTTCAAAATCACCTCAAAAAAAAAAAAAAAAAAAAAGCCTTCCTGCAACATTACCTCCAAATGAGGTTATACACAGTCACAGACAAATGGGATTAAAATGGGAACAACAGGACTGAAAGAACAAAATCAACTTTAAGTTAGTGTAACATTATTGGACTTCACTATCTGTAGTAAAGTATGAATTAATTCAAAAAAATATTTTATAATGATCCTGCACAATTTTATTTTTTGGGCAGGCTGGGTGCGGTGGCTCATGCCTGTAATCCCAGCACTTTGGGAGGCCAAGGTGGGCAGATCACAAGGTCAGGAGACCTGCTTGGCCAACACAGTGAAACCCCGCCTCTACTAAAAGTGCAAAAATTAGCTGGGCATGGCAGTGCACGGCTGTAATCCCAGCTACTTGGGGGGCTGAGACAGCGGAATCACTTGAATCCAGGAGGCGAAGGTTGTGGTGAGCTGAGATCGTGCCACTGCACTACCGCCTGGGTAACACAGTGAGACTCCATTTCAAAAAAAAAAAAAAAAATACTAATTTGCCACTTAAAAAAAAAGTTTTTATTGCTGAAAAATAAAAAAATACAAAAGCAGAAAGACTGTTATTTCTTGATGTTTTATAAAACAGCCAGGATCCTAAGCAACCCCACTGACACTCGTCATTTCCATTTGTGTAAAATTTCATGTATCTAGTGAACACAGTTTATTCTTGATTGTAGAAGAGGGAATCTCATGCAATATTTAAGCTATTAATTACTCAAAAAATATTTCTCCCACTGAGAACATCAATGAAAACCCTAGGGCTATCTTTGGAATTTTGTATTTTCTAAAATAAATCCAATGTGTAAAGAAATGGCCCAGGAATTAAGAATTTTCAGTGTTAAGCACACCGGCAAGCCATTAAGGCCTGGCTATAGATTTCTTGTTTTCTTGGGAGGTGTATTTCCTTGTTTACTTTTGGGGTATATCCTAGAACAGACCATTCAGGACCGTTCTAATAGCTTGTCGGGATGCACAGTTATTAGGATGCCAAAAAGGTCACGTTTGCATGGTGCTGCTGGTTGTTATCAGATTTAATAGCCCACATTTCTCAAATTAACATCTTCTAGTAGGCATCTAATTAAAGATTAAGCTATTCAACTTGAATTTTTATTATTATTTGGCAGGACAACTTAATTCATTCTTTAAATGCACTTTCCCATTTAAAATGATTTTTCTTTTTTTTTCTTTTTTTTTTTTTTTTAACCACACTGTGCCTTTTCCTTTTTGGCAAATAATAGGTCTTAAAAACACTAATGAGAAGACCCAACTTAAAAACAATATAGTTACATACTATGAAAATGTAAAAATAATAATAGTAGTAGAAGCAGTGGTGGTGGTGGTGGTAGTAGTAGTTGTAAACAAGTTACTAAGGTCTGACATTTACATCTTGAGAAGCTCCAATTCATACCAGATTTAAAGTCTCTTACCAGGGTTGCAATCTGTAAGAAGTGAGCAGATGGAGAGGAGAACTTTAGAAATAGTTAAAGCCGGACTCCAGTTGTCCTTTAAGATGTCCAGACAGATCACGCCTTGGCTGTTAATATTACAGTGATAGATTCTTGTTCGGAAGGTAACCTACAAGAAAATGTAAAGTTATATTTTGTTAGACAAAATATGTTTATCAACAGTACCTATAGACAATTTTTGTCTGATAAGATTGTCTATTTTATCAGACAAAACAGTCCAGGCTATTGGTTTAAATACACTTGATTGTTTTCTTGGGCACATGAGATTAATCAACAGACAGAGATCATCATTTTAGAATCTGTCATTTTGGGCACAGAGGAATAAACATCAACAGCAAAGCCATGACATTCTGCTTCTTATAGAGTCCTGTTATTTAACAAACGTTTTAGGGACTGAGTTTACTTTTGATATAATTACAGGAATGTTCATGAGGAGAAATTGACTCTGACTTCTAAAAAATTTCAAAGAAAACCTTTGTTAGATTCCAGTTATTTTAAGGATTTTGTACATTTATAATATTCAAACACCAAAAAGCATGAGAGTACTAATACAAAGAAAATAAATATTATTCTATAACAGTTTTTTTTTTTTTTTTTTTAGACAGAGTTTCAGGCTGGAGTGCAGTGCCCAGGCTGGAGTACAGTGGCGTGATCTTGGCTGACTGCAACCTCCACCTCTCGGTTTCATGTGATTTTCCTGCCTCAGCCTCCCAAGTAGCTGGGATTACAGATGCCTGCCACCACGCCCGGCTAATTTTTGTATTTTTAGTAGAGACGGGGTTTTGCCATGTTGGCCAGGCTGGTCTCGAACTCCTGACCTCAAGTCATCCACCTGCCTTGGCCTCCCAAAGTTCTGGGATTACAGGTGTGAGCCACCACGTCCGGCCTAGAACACAGTTTTAAAACATAAACCAAGGCATCTACATAAATAACATGCCTAGTTCATAGAACTATATTAGTATAATTATAGTAGTTATACTTTATTATATTAGTTACAATTTACTATATTAGTTATATTACTATAGTAGTTACAGTTAGTTGTAATTTAGAAACCTTTTCTTTCTTAAATTTTATTTTTAAAATGTAATATTAATGCACAGTCTTTGCCCTGTGATAGCTAGATCACCACTGTATGTTGCTTATGTATAACTGTGAAACATAACATGTTTAAAACACTTCAACTGAAAAAAATTAAGTGCAAATCAGTTTTATAACTACTATAACTCTGTTTACAAGTGTTATGTAAGTGGCAATAAGATGTGAATACTATTAATATTATGTTCATAAATGTGCTTAAATTTTAAGTTGAAAAATACAAAAATCTCAGTGTTCTAAAGACAGTCTTTTGGTACTACATCTTAAATGCCTAGAAATGCTGAAGAAATTATAATGAACATTCTTTAAAATGCATAGCAGAATCTGCAAGGGGAATCCCCACAGTCTAGAATTAAAAGCCAAAAATTATAGTAAGTGCAACAAGCTGAGAGTGCACCTGCGATGGGTTTTGGGAAGAGGGAAGGGAGTAAAAGATGGTATTCAGTCTTAACAAAATGGAGGTTTGGGTTTTGATGCCTTCATGGAAAAAGAATATGAAATCTTAGGCCTGTATGTTACAACAGTTTAGAATTGAGCGCCCTTATATAAATTAGGAAACTGTAATGGCTAGTCTTTCAGTAAATGGATGGACTTGAAAAGATATGCCTTATGACACAGATAGCGAAGAAACTTACCAAAGAAAGCCTGGGCTCTAGACTGAGAAATGTTTTTCCTGAGAATTCTAAATCCTAGACACATATACTGTGTAAACACTAGCTAACAAAAAGAGCTTAAATGACTATATTATTATCAGGTCAGAATACGTTTAAGGCAAAAAGCATTGTTAGAAACAAAGAACTTTACTGATAAAATAAACAACTCATCAAGAAAACAGTAACAATTCTGAATCTGCTGTATCTAACAATATAGCCAAAAATATACAAAGTAAAAATCTGCAAGATTATAAGGAGAAAATGACGTATCTATAGTCAAAGAGGAACATTTTCACTACAGCAACTGATAGGTAAACCAGACTAAAGATTAGTAAGGATATTAGAGATTTGAACAACTAGATAAACAAAATCAAGGGACTGAATGAAGATAAAATCCTACACTTAATGATTAAGGAACATTTAAGAAACATTTATAAAAACTGATCACATGCTAAGCCACAAAATAAGCTTCACATATTTCAAAGAATTGACATTATTAAGACCATAATGCAAAGTCAGAATCTACATATAAAAACATCCCCCTATCATATGTCTGGAAACAGAAAAACTCATTTTCAAATAATTCTTGGATCAAAGAAAAAATCAGTTACTATTATAGCTGAATGACAATGAAAATATTGGGTTGCCAATATCAAAATTTTGTGACTCAGCTAAAACAACTGTAAAAGAAAAATCTACAGTTTCAAATACATATATTAGGAAGGAAGAAAGATACTTAATGAGTTAAGTGTCCAACTCAGGAAGGTAGTAAGAGAACAACAGACTGAACTCCATGAAAGAAGAAATAAAGACACTAGCCTAAGTTAATGAAACACAGACTATCTTGTGATATTAAAATTTCTGTGGAGAAGGCAGAGTGCCTATTCCTTTCAGTACTAAATGAAAAGATAAAATATTTTTATGATCCCAATTTAACTGATGAGTGGCTTACATAATATTGATAATTAACCCTCAAAACAATTCAATGGGGGAAAATAATATTATTGTAAACACTTGAAAAATGATGAAACTAAGGCAAAGGAGGTTAAAGAACTGGCTCAAGATCCCACAAGTGGTAAATGGAAGCCAGAATTTGAACACAATTGTGCTGATCGAAAAGCCTATGGTCTATCCCTCAGCATCAATGCCTCTGTTCTTTTGTAAAAATGTATAATTCTGGGATAACTGTAGATTCACATGCAGTTATAACAAATAAAGAGATCCCGTATATTTTTCACTCAATTTTCCCCAATGATAACATTTTGTATAACAACAGTATATTGCAGGAAATTGACATTAATACAGTCCACTGACCCTTTTCCAGATTTCATTTTTATGTGCACGCATGCATATTAAATATATTTAGTTCTATGTAATTTTATCACATGTATAGATTTGTGTGAACACCACCAGTCAACACACAAACAACTCTACCACAAACATTCTTCATGGTACCTTGTGATAGCCATAGTTGCCTTCTCCCTTTACTTCAATTCCTGGCAACTACAACTCTGTCCTCATCTCCACAACTTTGTCATTTCAAGAATGCTATAAAAACGGAATCGTATAGTATGTAACCATTTGAAATTGGTTCTTTTCACTCTGCATAATTCCCTTAAGATCCATCCAAGTTGTTGCACGGTGTCAATAATTTGTTCCTTTCTTATTGATAAGTAGTATTCTATGGTATAGATGTGGTACAGTAGGCAGATAGCCAGACATGAGGAGGAAAAGGGAGGCCCTGAGAAAAGGAGTCTGGAAAATCTCACACCCCAGAGATCACCCTAAACAGGTGTGCTAGATATGAACAGACAGGAAGGGAAATACCTAGGTAGAAAGGAATTCCCCTTAAGACCGTACTGACTGCTCACTCTGCCAGTTAACCTGCCAGAATGTAGCTAGATGCATGCTAAAGGGAAGAGGGCAAAGGAGAAAATTCCTGAGATACGCAAAAGCAATTCGTGTTCAACATCGGGTTCACTCGTGCATACCAATAGTAACGGAGGGTCCCACAACCTTGGGGCGGGAACTAGGTGAGGGAAAAGGCAGGGACTTAAGGCAGATGCAGAAAACTAAACAAAGTAAAAAGGTGGAGACTAAGAAAGAGGCAGGAACTTCAAGGAAAAATCTGTAATCATAAAAACCCAACACAGAACTCTCGGGGTACTGCTGGCTCACTCTCTTTCAGCAGCTCACTCTGCCTCATCTTTTCAGAGTGTACTGTCTCTCTAGATAACTCCCTGCTCTGTATTTTCCTTCAATGAATTCTCTTTTTCTGGCTAAATCAGTAGCTTGGCAGAATTCTTTCTCCAAATAAGACTAAGAACCAAACAAACAGTAATAGATGTACCAATCTGTTTACCATTTACCCACTGAAGGGCATCGGGTTTCTATGAAAGAATCAAAATGCTTTTCCTACTCTCTCAACACAGAAGACTTCTGTGACCAAATGTGGGTGAGGAGTTTCTCCTGACAACTAATTTTCTGAGGCTAGCTGGGTGTCCCACAGTTCAACTCTGATACTATCCACCTGGATGTAGAGTCAGAACCTATAGGTTTAGGTCTCAGTCCCACAAGACTGCTTCCCACTTCAGATGCCAATCCAAGTTCTGGCTGTTATAAATTGGGGATTCCCACAATCCCCTCCTCAGGTTCAATCATTTGCGAAAGCAGTTTACACAATCCATAAATGCGTTTTACTTATCTTTACTGGTTTATTATAAAACATATTACAAAGGATATAGCTGAACAGTTAGAAGATAAGCATAAGGTAAGGTACGAGCCATAACGGGTGGGGGTGGTACAGAGTCGCCATGCCCTCTTGGGGTACAACAACCTCCGTGAGTTCAGCAACCCAGAACCTCTCTGAACCTTGTTTTTAGGCGTTTTATGGAGGCTTCATCATGTAAGCATGATTGATTTAAATCATTGGTCATTGGTGATCAACTCAACTTTCAGACCCTCTCCTCTCCCTGAGGGTTATAGGGGAGAAGGGCTGAAAGTTTCTACCCTCTAATCACATGATTGTGACATGATGGCAACCAGCTTCCATCCTGAGGCCTTCCAGGAGACCCCAGCCACCACCAGTCACCTCATTAGCGTACAAAAGACAGTTAACATTTCAGAGATTGCAAGGGTTTTAGTAGCTTTGTGTCAAAAATGAGACCAAATAGTATATATTTCTCATTAGAAATCACAATATTGGAGGGTTGTTTCCAGTTTTAAGCTATTACAAATAAAGCTGCTCTGAACATCTGTGTATGTGTTTTTTGTGAACATAAGTTTTTGTATCTCTCGGATAAATGCCCAAGAGTGTAATTGCTGGGTCGTATGTTAAGCTCATGTTTAGTTTTATAATAAA